AGAGTGAGAGGGGGTGAGAGTGAGAGGGGGTGAGAGAGAGAGGGTGAGAGAGAGACAGACAGACAGATTGACAGACAGACAGACAGACAGACAGACAGACAGACAGACAGACAGACAGACAGAGTGAGAAAGAGTGAGCGTGTGAGTGAAAGAGAGGAAGAGACAAGATGACAAGACTTTTAGAGTTATATACACATAGATACATACTGGAAAAAGCTCTACACATAGGAGCTTATTCTGACAGTAGCCTTATAGCAGATGGTAAGAAACTCCCTTTGTATCTATCTTTCTTTGTCTTTAGAGGTACATATCTGCCGCTGCCTGATCTGACAATTTGCCTGGAAAGGGGGTGTGACGGGTCCTTTATTATGCTGTTTATCTTTTTATACGGTACTTGTGATCTTATACATTTCACCAAGGTTTCTAGTTTCGTAAAATCATACCAGAGATCTTACTGGCTTTCTTCATGGTTCTGTCCAATTTTTCTATATCTTCCACCTTATAGTTTCCAGCCCAGCAGCAAATAAGATCTAGCTCACCAAACCAATTTGTATGCCGGGCAAAAGAGACAGGAACGTCTTGATGAGGGTTTCATTAGCAGCATCTGACGACGCTTAGTAAGCTAGGAAATGGCACTAAAAGTCTGAGGAGCCAGTGCAAGCAACAACCTACTGCCCTGCTTGCAACAAGGGACTCTGTAAAGACAGTTTTCAGACATACCACAATGATGTGACAATTGAACAAGGGACTCTGTAAAGACAGTTTTCAGGCATACCACAATGATGTGACAATTGAACAAGGGACTCTGTAAAGACAGTTTTCAGGCATACCACAATGATGTGACAATTGGTTCTGCTCATCAGTCGTGAACAACGTGAGTCAATTTCCTTATAATGGCGACAGTGCTCACTCTCAAGGTCACCGTAACCTACTTTTTGACTCACTGTTGCATGCATGGCTAGCCAGTCCATTTATCTACCTTTGAACATTTGAAAGAAATCTGAGCACAAATGTAATACATGTACTAAAATTATTTAGAAAACAACAACCCGATGAGTCACTTTTATCTGTTCTCTACTGAAAAAAAGTCAAGATAATAGAGATCGAGTAATAATTGGGAAAAGCCTAGGACACTAAAGGATTATATTGTTAGCCGCGTGATTCAACCGCCTAAGTGCCAGCGAGATAAATTTTATAGGAGAATCCAAAAACTGTTTTATTTCTTTATGCTCGTCTATGAATCTGAAATTCATATATATAATATATATATATATTTAGTTTGATAAATATATATCACACAAGGCCTCCGACATAGGAGCAGGGGCGAAGGCTGACTTGTTTGACAAGGTAATCAGAGTGAGAAGAAGATCCAAATAGAGATGAGCCCACATGTAAAAAGCCCTAGACCACAATAAGCAAACAACTGGCAACACACTGCACGCGTCATTTGAGACAGTATCACTGAGTACAGCACTGAGGGAAATCACATGACGGAAAAAGTACCAACAACAGCTTTTGTGGCAGCTGTCGCACTCTTACTCTTACCTCTCTCACGGGTAGTTGGTGTGGACTGTGCCATTTTCGTACGGGGGGAGGGTTGTCAGCGACCTCGTTTTTGGCAAACTGTAACCACCCTGCCGATGTTTACCTGTGAAAGAAGGGAGACATCATTCCAAATGGTAGTGGCCTGTGAGTCCGTGTGTTTAGTATTTCATACACAAGAAGAACTAAGTCAGAGTCTGAAATTTTTAAAACTGAACACTGGATTGGCATCATCATTATTCTCAAACTGAAGTTGTAGAGACAATGACCAGATAACCACTATAGGCTATAGAATAGAATAATGGGGGTGGGGGTGTATATGGGGCATGCCTCCCTGAGGTAAAAAAAAAATTTTAAACGAAAAACCTGGGGGATAACAAAGGGCATGCCC